GGCAACCTGGGCCAGGCTCTCACCACCCTCACACCCAAGAATTTCCTCCTCCTCTCCAACCTCTAGCTCCCCTCTCCCACTTTTAATCCATCCCCCTTGTCCTCTCCCTGCCTGCCCTTGTCCCAAGTCCCTCCCCAGCTTTCCTGGAGCCCCTTCAGGCACTGGAAGCTGCTCTAAGGTCTCCCTGGAGCCTTCTCTTCTCCAGGCTGAACACCCCAACTCTCCCAGCCTGTCTCCAGAGCAGAGCTGCTCCAACCCTTGGATCACCTCCGTGGCCTCCTCTGGACTTTCTCCAGGAACTCCATGTCCTTCTTGTGTTGGAGGCTCCAGAGCTGTGCACAGTTCTCCAGGTGGGCTCTCACCAGAGCAGAGCAGGGGAGAAGAATCTCCTCCCTTGACCTGCTGACCATGCCAAGGGAGGTTCCATGCTCCCCATGAACTCCTTCCCCTCTGGAGCAGGGAGCTGCTCCAAGCTCTGAGTTTATCCCAATAAGAGCTTCTTCTGATCCCTTCAATAGTGGGTTTTTTCACAGCCCCTGGTAGGTACAGGGAAATTTGACCTTGGTTTGTTTAATGCTTGAGGAACACCTACAAACCAAGTGTTCTGAGAAGGAACATGTGACTGGGGCTGCATTACCTTTCCCTGTGTGACACAGCCCACATGGAGACCCCCGCTTAAACAAACCCTGGACTCAAAAAAAAATGCAGAGATGCCAACACCATCTCCCCAGTATGAGGTGGCCACAACAGCCACTGGTACTGGAGGAACACTGAGCTTCAGAAGTAGTGTAGCTAACTCATCCCCTCTCTCCCAGCTAAAGCACCCACCAAAGAGACAGTTCCAGCTGTGCTGAGGACACCACAGCCAGGCCCCAGACAGCCCAGCTCAGTGCAGGTCCTCTGCTGGAGAAGTGTCACAGTGGTGGGGGTTGGAAGGGACCTCTGGAGATCACCTAGTCCAACCCCCATGTTAGAGCAGGACCACCTACAGTAGATCCCACAGGAACACATCCAGGTGGGTTTGGAATGTCTCCAGAGAAGGAGACTCCACCACCTCTCTGGGCAGCCTGTCCCAGGGCTCTGTCACCCTCAGAGTGAAGAAGTTTCTCCTCATGTTTAACTTGAATCTCAGGGCTGCTCTGAGCTGGAATCCACGACCAACACTGAACAGACCTTTGCCTCCTGCTGCTTTCCCTGCTCCACAACATCACCAGCTCTGCTGCAAGGCTGTGACAAACCAGACCCAGCTTTAGTTCCAGGACAGATTCATCTTCCCTGTGAAACAGGCATCTCGAGAACTTCCTTCACTGAGTGAGGAAAGAAACCCAAAGGACATGTTTTTTCCTCGGATCCGATCACAATTTCAACCTCTGATCCCAGCTCCTTCTATTTCCCTTCACCCCTCCTGCCTCTGAGGACCTACCCATGCTGGATTCATCCGTCTGCAGGATCTCTTCATGTTTGTAGGTGCCATTCATGATCCTGGTGGATGAATTCTCCAGGACTCCATTGGGGTAGTGCTCAGCCTCCATCTCCATCTCACTGTCACTGAGGTGGAAGGAGGAAAGAAAGGTCAGATGTCTAAGTAAGACAGGGAGGAAAGGAAGAGCCCATTAACAGCCAGTAAGCCAGGAAAGGCGCCAGCAGGACATCAGGAGAACCAGATGGTCTAATGCAGATTCCCAAAAGTTCTTGCAGGCTTCTGAAGGCAACTGATGAAACAGGTTTTTGTCCTGAAAGTGCCTGTCAGAATTCCAGGTGTGGGGGCTTCTCATTTTCCCTTCAGGAAGCAGGGCCTGGGGTCAGCAAGCACAGTCAGACCCAAACAGAACATCCTCAAGAGGAGGAAAATCTTGGCACCAACCCTTGCAAAAAGGGACATCAGTGCAAGGGCTCCAGGCTTGAATGGTGAAGAGAACAGGCTGAATGAGACTGCTGATTAATTGCTGATTAACTGCTGATTAATTGCTGATTAACTGAAATTATGAGAAAATCTTATGGGACTTGGGCTCTACATTAAAAAAAGAATCCTAAACCCAGCATTATCAAATGATTTGGCAAGGGGAGTGTTTCTCCCTCAGGTAGGAGGTGTCTGGCTCTCCAGGGGTCATGATAGAGGCTACAAACTGTCCTGCAAACTCTGCTCAACACTGTGCTTAGAAGGTAATTGCCAGCTGCAATTAGCAAGTTCTCTTAATCACCAGGACATCTCTGCTCCAGCAGGGCCTCGGGCAGCCCAGCAACACCAACCTGGAAAATGAGCCCAAAGGAGGCTCAGTTCTCACAGGGTCACAGAGTGGTGGGGTTGGGAAGGACCTCTGGAGATAATTCAGTCCAACCCCCTGCTAGAGCAGGGTCACCTGCAGTAGAACCCACAGGAACACACACAAGTGGGTTCTGAAAGTCTCCAGAGAAGGAGACTCCAAAAGAGACTCCACCACCTCCCTGGACAGCCTGTCCCAGGGCTCTCCTCAACAGAGTTCAAGATGTTCCACCAACCAGTAAATGAACTAACCCCTCTCCTGGGAGGAGGAGGCTCTTCCTGAACGACCTGCTGTCTCAAGGGTGAAACAAACCACTGTCAATTCAGAAGCTCATCTGGAAACAGATGGAGGTGGCCCAAGAATCACAGAATAGTCATGGTTGGAAAGGACATCTGAGATCACTGTGTCCAACCATGAAGAAAAAACAACCAAAAAACCCCCAAAAAACTCCACCCCAAAAAAACCCACAACCTACAACCTCAGCCACTAGAGCTTGCCCTGAAGTTCCTCATCTACACGTTTCTTGAATACATGCAAGGATGGTGACTCCACCACCTCCCTGGGCAGCTGTTCCATCCTGACCACTCTTTCAGTAAAGAAATCCTTTCTAGTATCCAATTTAAACCTCCCCTGCTGCAACTTCAGGCCACTTCCTCTGGTCCTGTCCTTATTCACATGGGAGAAGAGCCCAGCACTCAGAAGAACACTCAGGAGAGCAACACACCAGCCCAGCAATGGCTCGAGCTGCAGTGACCAACTGGCTGAGGCAGAAGGAACAACAATGGGCTCAGTGGGACAGTTTCTGTGCCAACTGCCCTGGTGGGCTCTGCTGACACCCCTTTGATGGGACAGTTTGGTGTCTGAAACAAGAGCATCATCATATTCCTGATGAGCCACCAAGACTGAGACAGAGCACGGGCACTGGAACGGGCTCGTGTCTACTGGAAATAACAGGGAGCCAGCAGATATGAAGAGTTATTCTGTTCCAAGGACAGGTGCCCTTGTGGCTCCTCAGACTGAGTCCTCTCCCACCATCTCACTCTCTTCAGGCATCTACAGAGAAATAAAAAAATATACCTGGTTTCTTGGTTACTCGTACTACTGTGCTGCTGGGATTTGGTAGAATCTGTAGAATTGGACTCAGAGTAGTTCACTGAGGAGGGGGAGGAGGAGGAGGAAGATGAAGATGATGAACTCAGTGTTGGGTATTTACTGTGACTCTGTTTGCTTTTTGTGGACATGACTCCATTGCTACAGGTTGGACTATCTGCTCCTGAAAGTCAAGAAGAAAGGGAAAATGAGACCAGACCAACAATACTGGGAAGTCAACAGTTTAGCAGGGCCCACAGGAGGGCAACAAACCAAGACTGAGGATCTTTGATGACTTCATTGTTCTTGAATTCCATGGGGTTTAGAGAAAACACAAATGAATATGGCAAGAAGCCCAGTGCTCACCAGCAACATCTGAGCTTAAGGAAGCTCTAAAAATGGGCTGTAAATACCAGATGGGCAGAACCAGCTCCCACTGATCAGTGCTGAAACATGAAGCACAGCTTGGGAAGAAGTTCTGAAACACTCTTCTCACAGACCCAAGGATTTTTCATAAATGCTCTGCCCAGGAAAACTCTGAGAGCAGAGGTGAAAACTGGGCCACCAGAACTCCCTGCAAGTAGAACTTCCCAGGCTTACAACCTGGCTTACATGAGGGATACACTTGGTTCACACACACACAACACTCACCAAATAACAATCCTCTTGAAAATCCCAAGCAGACCTTCCCTGTTCAGATTCTCCTCCTCACTGAGAGGAGAGTCAGGCCTGAAATCTCATCCTCTCCCCCAGGAGAGGTGCCCATTGAGCTGTGGGACCCACTGACATGGGACACAAACCTTTGGTCATTACCAGGGATGCAGAAATGACTGGCAGAACTAACAGGGACTATTTAATACCAAGGGAACTGCAAATCATTAAGGGCTAAGCCCTACACAGATCTCAGTTATGGGCTTGTCTTCCTCATATGAGGTCAATGGGTATTTTCATGCATGGTTGAAAACAGGGATTACCCAGAGCTTTCATGGACTGATGGAACCATTCTGAAAGTCCAGTCAGAGCAACATACCCAGGGTTTCTCACAACACAATAGAGGAAAACAAAGAGGCTGGCTTGGGAAGGTGAGGGATAGCTTGGAGGCACTCAAGGAATTGTCTTCCTTGCCTTTAAATGTTTGCCTGTCCACAGTTCATGGCTGTGAGCAGCTCAGGGCTCAGTGAAGCAGGTCAGAGTGTTTCCAGGGGCTCTGTAGGTGACAATCCCTGGCGAACTCCATCCTCAAAGCTGTAGGGAAGATAGCTTGGGTGTCCTGGTTTGTTCTGCCCTTTCCACTACAAGTTTAATTTCCCAAACTGCCAAGAGATGATGCTTCAGAGATGGGTTTGTGGGTACAGGACAGTTCCCTTCTCACACCCCTTCACAGAATCCCAGGCTGGTTTGGGTTGGAAGGGACCTAAAAGCTCATCTAGATTCAATCCCCCTGCCATGGTCCCACCAGCCGAGGTTGTTCCAAGCTCCATCCAAGTTGCCCTTCAACACTGCCAGGGATGGGGCAGCCACAGCTTCCCTGGGCCATTCTGGGCCAAGCTCTCACCACCTTCACAGAGAAGAATTGCTTCCTAATGTCTCACCTAAATCTCCCCTCTTTCACCTTAAAACCATTACCCATGTTTAGAGCTTGCAAGGTAAAAGTCCATGGAGAAAAGGAGCAGCTCCCTCACCCAAGGCATCCCCTTAACCTTCTGCCCAGCTGGCCAGAACAGGGAATCTGCTGCTGGGTCCTTACTGGAAACCAATTTCTCCTTGGTCAGTGAAAACTCCTCTGAGTTTCTCCTCAGTCAGTGGAACACTGAGTCACTGGTGGCTGCACTAGAAGGCCACCTTCAGAAACTTCTTTATTCTGAAAAAAATCCACTCTGCAGCCAATTGTCTGTGGAAAAGAACTGATGGAAAACTCAGCCTGGAGAGAAGAGAAGGCTCTGGGGAGACCTTATAGCACCTTCCAGTGCCTGAAGGGGCTCCAGGAAAGCTGGGGAGGGGCTTTTCATCAGAGCAGATGGTGACAGGACAAGGGGGGATGGTTTTAAACTGAGAGAGGAGAGATTTAGGTGAGATACTAGGAAGAAATTCTTCACTCTCAGGGTGGTGAGGAACTGGGATGGGTTGCCCAGGGAGGTTGTTGATGCCCCATCCCTGGAGGTTTTTAAGGCCAGGTTGGAGGAGGTTTTGTGCTGATTCTATGACTCCAGGTATGTCCTCCCAGCTGCTCACGAGAAACACAAGGAGCGTTTCACAGAAGAACAGACAGAAAGCAGCAGGTGATGGACAGCACTTGACCTTCAACATCTGCTGTTCTCACCCGGAGCCCCAGAACCCCCACTTACCAGTACTATGGACGTGTGAGTTGCTTGATCCATGTCTGGGACTCAAGCTGGGGGAGCCGGGGTAACTGTCCTGGGACCTGGGGCTGCGGGCACCGAAGCAGCGCACCTCGCTGTCCGTCCCGTTCACCATCTCCACGAACTGCCGGCACCTGGTTTCATGGGAGGGGAGAGGGAGGAAGGGCTGTGTGACAGCCTGGGTGCTCTGCCTTCAGCTCCTGCTGAGTGGAGAAGTCCTAAAAACTGCCTAGGAGTGAAATCTTGGCTTTGGGAAAGACATTTCAGCCTGCTGCTTGTACCTCCGGGGTGCGAGTGCCCCAACAAGGGGATGGGAGGAAGGAGTTCAGGGCCTGCCCCTTTGGTGCTGATCCATGTGGAGACATTCCCAAAAGGAAGTTTATTTCCACTGCATGAAGAAGAAGCTGCTCCTTTACTCCAGTACCTTTCCAGGTACTCCAAACTGAATGGTGGGGCTTGTTTTCAAGGAGAAGATACTAAAACTGCCAAGTGTCACAGTTTCCCCACTACTCCAACAACCTAGAAATACTGGTGGCCAGGGGAAAATGGACAGGGAAGGGTAACAAATGCAATATCCACAGTTACAGGGAGGACAGGTCCCCATGTAGCCTTACTGGGAACTGTCCTTCCACAACAGATGAGGATGGGAAGCCCCACCTCATGAGGAAAAGCCACACTGAAGCTGAGCAGCAACCAAAGGGCTACGTCTCCATTGCTCCCACCACTGCACAAAGAACTGGACCTGTGTCCTCTCCCACCTGCTCCCAAAGGGTCCTCAACCAGTTGGAACTGAGACCAAGGTGTGGAGCTGGACTGGGTGGCTGGACAGCCTCTTTCCCCTCTCCTTCATCTACACATTTCAGCATCAGGGAGCAGAAAGCCATTCATACTTACTTTAACATGAAGAGCAGGTTGGGGTTATGTTCTAGGAGGCCAGGGTAGAGCTGCTGGGTGGCTTCTATAGCCTCTCCCACTCTGCCTGCTAATACTAGCTTCTGTATTCCTGAAAGTAAAAGGAGACCTACTGACACACAGGACTGGCCACCAAGAAGGACCAGAGGATTGTCTCACACATGTCTCACAGCTCCCCACTACCACCCTCAGGAGAACTGGGGACCACATTTTGTTTCTTATGGATGAGGGTGAAGAAAAGCCTGGGAAAGTGAGGGACAATCTGTCAGTAGCTCAGAAACACCAAGAGCAGAAGGACATGAAGGATGAGGCAGGTGCTCTGGACTTCAATCCTTCAGTCAGAGCTAAGCAGCAATGGAAAAGTGTAGGACACAATGGGTGGGAGCAAAGAGGCTGCTGGGGAAATGACCATTTCAAGGACACCCCCATGTTACATCTTCTGGCTGGTTCATGCCTGGAAGCCTATATATGGCTGAGCATCACCCTTAGGTGATGAGACCTTGGCCCAGGTTGCCCAGGGAAGCTGTGGCTGCCCCATCCCTGGCAGTGCTGAAAGGCAGGATGGATGGGGCTTGGAGCAGCCTGGGCTGGTGGGAGGTGTCTCTGCCCATGCAGGGGTTGGGAATAGATGATCTTTAAGGTCCTTTCCAAATCAAACCATCCAATGATTCCATGAAACCCATCCCAGCAAGCCCACTGCCTGAGGCCAGGGATGTGTAACACAGGACCTGGAAAGCTCAAAGCCCATCAGCACTAACGAGCAGCAACTGCAGGTTATTCCGGGTACCCAGCAGAGTCCCCAGATGAACCTGAGCTGGCTGAGCATGGGCAACGTATGGAAGCAAAGCACAAAGGGACACAGTCACATGAGGAACAGCTCACAAAGGGCAGGGACATGCACAGAGCAGAAGGCAGCCTGGGCTCAACAGGCAGGAGAATACAGAACACACACCAATGTTCTGTGCCCCTGCAGCCCCAGCCTGTGCACAGAGAAGCTACAAAAAGGGGTAGAGCAGAGAGAGCTGCAGGCCTTGCTCTGCAGGAACCACCCAACTGACCACAGGCTGGTTTGGGTTGGAAAAGGACCTTAAAGATCATCCAGATCCAACCCCCTGCATGGGCAGGGACACCTCCCACCAGCCCAGGTTGCTCCAAGCCCCATCCAACCTGCCCTTCAACACTGCCAGGGATGGGGCAGCCACAGCTTCCCTGGCAACCTGGGCCAGGCTCTCACCACCCTCACACCAAAGAATCTCTTCCTAACGTCTTAACTTGGCACTGCCTCCAAGAAAGGACCTTCTGTCCTGGATATCACGTTCAGTCTGATGTGTGGTCTCAGAGCTGAGTCACCCCATCCATCTATTCCTGTACTCAGCTCCTCATTCTCAACAAGACTGAGGAGAATTTGCGAAGCTGATAAGAAACCAAACTTCTCCTCCAGCAGCAGGTCAGTGCTCCAGGCAGGCAAAGGGGAGAGCAGGGCAGCTCTGCAGGCAGAGATGGCAGAGCATGGAGGGGACACACTGACCCTGGGAGAAGTGCCCTGAGCAGAGGTCCTCCACTCTACTGACTCAATGCCACCAGTGTGCTGTGGACACTGTGGAATAAGGTGATATGTGCCCCAGTGGGGAATGTCCACCCCAGAGACTTACTTTGTCTGTTCTTTATTGAGGTCTGTTCTTCCTGGATTGTGGTGTCTGTGACTCTGGCAAAGGCAGTTGCTGTTGAACAGTACCCATGATGGACCAGATACGATGACACCATGCTAGAAAGGAAGACAACAAAGAGATGAAGAGGAGGTGGTAAAGCAGGGAGGGATCACACTGGAGATAATTATTTTTATTAGAAAAATAAAAATAGCACAACAGAAGGTGCAATTTCAGTGACCAAACTCAGCTTGCTCAGGACATAACCAGGGTCCAGACAGTGTTAATTTCCTAGATACCTACCTGGGCCTCAGCAAACAGAAAGGAGGTTCTAAATACACCTTAAGGAATAAAAATAATAATAGAACGGTTTGGGTTGGAAGAGACCTTAGAGATCATCTAGATCCAACCCCCCTGCATGGGCAGGGACACCTCCCACCAGCCCAGGTTGCTCCAAGCCCCATCCAACCTGCCCTTCAACACTGCCAGGGATGGGGCAGCCACAGCTTCCCTGGGCAACCTGGGCCAGGGTCTCAATAATAATAATAACAGGAAAAATACATGTAAGACTCCCAGTGCATGTACATGAGTGATGCCTGCTGTCCAAGGGGCACCTGTCAGAGCCCAGTACTGTGTCCCTGCCACTCACACCCTACAGAGACATAAAATCTGAACCTCAGGGAGCCTCAAGGCTTTCAAGTATATCTTAAAAACAGATCCTGGCCCTGGATTTCTTCCATCCTTTATTTTGCCAACAATTGTACCTTTGGTAGTTGAATGAATTTACAGTCACAGATACTGCTCTTTAACCAAGACAAGCAGCCAGCTATGATTTTACAAACAATAACACATTTTTGAGGTGCATTTTCCAAAAAATGTTGAGGGAGAGGTAGCATTACTGCCAGAACACACACACAACAAAAGCACCTTCCTGAACAGACCATTTCCAAAGCCTCTGGGCCTTCCCAGGACATGGTGGGTAAATGTAAATGCACAGGGTTTTGAGGCTTCCAGTGATGAGTCTCAAACCAGGCTGCTCATGGTGAAGCTGGTATTGATCCCATCAAGCCACAGCTCAAAACATGCATTGAGGAGGAACGTCTTTACCCTGAGGGTGGCAGAGCCCTGGGACAGGCTGCCCAGGGAGGTGGTGGAGTCTGGAGACATTCCAAACCCCCCTGGACACCATCCTGTGCACCCTGCTCTGAGTGACCCTGCCCTGGCAGGGGGGTTGGACTAGATGATCTCCAGAGGTCCCTTCCCACCCCTGACACTGTGATTCTGTGATTCAACTTTGCTACTTCCAACACAAGAACCAAGTATTTGATGAGCCAGCAATAATTTCCACATGTAACATCACAAGCAGGTGTGTGATTTTGAAAAACTTGTTTTAAAATCATGTGCTTGTGACCACTGTTGGAAAAAAGACCCAGGGGCACCCTTCCTGAGGTTCTGGGGCAATATTATTGCACTCCACTGGGACCTATGGGACATTTTCATGCAGACAACAAAACCTTTCTGAATCCCAGGTTCTCCAAGGGGAGCTTTTATCCTCTGGGAGCCAAGCTTGAAACCTGCTGAGAGCAAAAGGACTCAAAAAACTTCTGACAAGGGCAGGGAGTGACAGGATGAGGAGGAGCAGCTTTAAACTGCAAAAGAGGCCAGTGCCTGAAGGGGCTCCAGGAAAGCTGGGGAGGGACTTGGGACAAGGGCAGGGAGGGAGAGGACAAGGGGGAAGGGATTAAAACTGGAAGAGGGAGATTTAGGTGAGACATGAGGGAGAAATTCTTGAGTGTGAGAGTGGTGAGAGCCTGGCCCAGGTTGCCCAGGGAAGCTGTGGCTGCCCCATCCCTGGCAGTGTTGAAGGGCAGGTTGGATGGGGCTTGGAGCAGCCTGGGCTGGTGGGAGGTGTCCCTGCCCATGCAGGGGGTTGGATCTGGATGATCTTTAAGGTCCTTCCAACCCAACCCAGTCTGGGACTCTATGATTCTATGAGGAACTGCTGACACCTGCACCAGGCATGTCAGATGACACTAATCTAGGGAACTCAAGGAACAAACAAAGGGATCTCCTGGTCCTGATGCAGAAGAATCAACTGCTTTTGCACAGGCAAGTCATGGCACTCTGACTTGGTGACACTTTTGGAGGGAGTCTGGAAGCAGGCAGAGAAGAGACCTTTTAGCAGTCCACTTGGTTTTCCAAAGATGTTTCACAGAGTGTTTCTGCAAAGCCCCTGAAAGACCCTGTGTTACCATGTGATGAAGGAACAGTCCAACTGGGTAAATATTCCATTAAAGAATGGGGTGGGAAAAGATGGTCAGTTTTACCAGGGAAAGGGAAAAATACTTGATTACTGCAGGATCCTGTGCTCTTAACAGAGTCATAAAACCAAACCTGCCAGCCCAGTGCCCTCCCCAGGGGTTTTTTATGTTCACAGGTGCAGGACACACACTTTGTTCTGATTAAGTTGCCTTCTGAGCACAAATTATTTCCATTCAAGTATCAGGGAACCTCTTCCTTCTCCTTCCCTGCTAAGCAAGCTTTCCAAAAGCAGATCCTTCTGCTGCCTGACAGGGTGCAGTGAATGACCCCAGAAACTCCACAATCCACCACATCAGAGTGAGAATTAATGCTCAAGTCAACACTGCCAAGTGTCTGAGCACAACCCAGGCTGGCCCAGAGCAAACATACAATTAGCCCAGGACATGCACCTCCCAACTGGCTAAAGGAAATACCTAGAAAGTTAAAGGCACTTGGGACACAGGGAATGATCTTCTCCCCCACAACCCTTGCAGCTTCCAGGGAAGTGTCAGACACTTCCTGTTCCAGAGCAGTATTTTCTCTACGTTGTAGCTCAAACACATTTTTCTTTCTATTAATATCTCCAGTCACCTTTTGAATCCAAGATGTTTTCAGGGAGCATGGAAAAAACACTCTTTTGTTCTTTCTAACTGTGCCATCTGGTGAACTTCACTCGGTGCCTTTTAATTCTTGCAGACGAGAAGACAAGGAACAGTTGTTCCCTCAGCATCCTCTCCAGGCAACTTGAGATCATTTTTCCACACTCCTGCCTTTCCCCTCACAACCGCATCCTCAGTGCTGTGGGGCTGTAGGTTTGTTCCTGGCCTTACACCCACCTCATGGGCTTTCACCCATGCTTTTCTTACTTCTACATATTTCTGGGGAGAAGGACCCAAAGCATCACACGCTGGTCACATTAAGGCTGCACTGCATATTCACACAGTGACAGAATTCTTTGACTCCTCTAAAAAATCCTGCTATTATTATTTTTTTCCCTGCTTGCTACAAAATAAATGAGCTGACATTTCCATGCAATGATCCATCACAACCCACAGGTCTCATTCCCTCCTGAAGGGCCCCTTCTTCCCAGTCATTTCTGAACACCCGCAGCAGCACCGACACTGCCAGCAAACCTCCCATGCACAACCCCACAGCTGCCCCTCCAACAATCCCCCACTCACTCATTCCCCCTCCTGTCTCTCTTTAAACAGACTCCCCACCTTAATTTGAAGCAGGAAAACTTATCAAGGACTTCCAAGACAAAGTCAGCAGCCCAAGCAGCAAATCCAAGTGCTTGCTGGCTCCTCTTTGTAAATCCCACATCCTATTTTCCTACCTGCCCAGTGCACCCACCCTGCAGGGGTGCTCTGATGAATCTGTCCATGGAGATTCTCTCCACCCATCACAGCCTGACTCTCCTCTGAAACCCATCATGAAACATGGCACCATAAGCACCATCTTCCCCTTCTCTTGAACCAGTTGAGAGAGAATCACAGGATCACAGCATGTCAGGGGTTGGAAGGGACCTCCAGAGATCATCAAGTCCAACCCCCTGCCAGAGAGGACCAAAACCAGGGCAGGTCACTCAGAAAGGCATCCAGGCAGGGCTGGAAAGGCTCCAGAGAAGGAGACTCCAACACCTCTCTGGGCAGCCTGTCCCAGGGCTCTGTCACCCTCACAGCAAAGAAGCTCTTCCTCATGTTCAGGTGGAACTTCCTGGGCTCCAGATTGAATCCATTGCCCCTCGTCCTGTCCCAGGGCACAAGTGACAAGAGCTTGTCCTGCCTTCTTGCTGCCCTCATGTATTGAGAGACATTCATTAGATCCCCCCTCAGTCTTCTCCTCTGCAGACTGAGCAGCCCCAGGTCTCTCAGCCTTTCCTCCTCAGGCAGGTGTTCCAGTCCCTCCATCATCCTCAGAGCCTCTGTTGGACTCTCTCCAGTAGATCCCTGTCCCTCTGGAACCGGGGAGCCCAGAACTGGACACAACACTCCAAGTGAGCTCTCACCAGGGCTGAGTAGAAGGGGAGGAGAAGCTTGGTTTCAGAGCCAGAAGCTCACCTGCTTTCTCCTGGAGTCCCATTCAGCCTTTAAGTAAATATCTGGGTCCAGAGAATTTCTCCTCCTCCCCTCACTTAATTCTCCCTGAGCTTCTTTGACAACCATTTCAATCCCAGGCACAGTCCCTGCCAAAAGCCTCACAAAGCAGCATCCCAGCATGACAACCCACCTGATTTCTGGACACATCTGCAAAGAACTCAGTTGGATATGGTCTTATTTTCCCCCAGGTCTCTTTTGATACAGAAATCCTCTACTGGCCCTACAAACCCCCTGGCAGGCCTCCTGCTTCTGGCTTCTTCAAGAAAGATATTACTACTGTTGTCAACAGCTTCTGATTTTCCAAGTCTTTGCTGGTTGGTGTAAATTATCTGCAAATAACTAAGTGGCACCAAAGTAGAACAGTCCCATGTACGTGCTGATGGCTGTAGGTGAGGCTGCTGGGTGACAGGGACCAGGAGTTTAGGGCAAGAATGTAACAAACAGGTGAAACACAGAGAGAAAAGGAACAGCCACAGAGTTGGGGGGGTTAAAAATCCAGCTGTGGAATTGGCCTCCCTAATTATGGTGAATATTCAACTTGTATCTTTTCAAACCCACTTAGACTCAAACCACCACCACAAGTCCCACAGTTTCATAAACCTCATGAAAACAGGAATTATTTTCTTTTTAAGCCAGAAGGTGCTTTTTTTCTAATTCTTGTGTTTTGAGAAACAGCAAAGAATCACTTCCCAGCCATGCTCTTCGTGGTGTAAACAACTGAGAGCTCAAGTCCACCTCCCTCAACTGCCTCTTTCCAAGCTGTGGAGCCTTAGCCAACTCTTTCTTCAGGCAGAAGTTACTCCTGACCTCTGACCACTGCTGTGACCTGTCCCCATCGAGTTTCACTCCATCCTTTTGCACTGGGCAGTGCATTCAATAGCCATGAATGGATGAGGTGGGATAATTGTGTTTTCAGGTGGGCTGGGTTTGGGAGCCTTTGGCTTAAGGCTCTTCCTCCCTCTTCCATTTCTGAATTCAGCTGACTTACAGCCTGGCTTTTCTCCTGTGGGAATTTTTATGGTGTCCCCTCCTCTCCCCCTCCCTCAGTGCATCACCCCAAAGTGTATATTTTTCCATTCCTACAAGATTTCATGCAGACTTTGGCTGAAAACTTCTCCCACAGCTTTCACATTTGAAACAGCAGTAACTTACACAGGGAAGATGATTAAACAACAAAACAGAGGGTCAAGCAAGCTGAGCAGAATGCACTGGCTGGCCAGTTTTGCCAAGAGAAGGCATAAATTAGCATTAAAAATCAAGTCTTTCAAGCCCAGGAGAAGGAAAGGAGGTGAGCATCAGACTTACTTCTGCAGCATGGCTTGCCACTCGCCCAGCCTGTCTCCGATGGGGAACCGCTTGATGGTGCTCTGGATCTTGGCCCTCCACTCCCTCATGTAGTCCTCAATGTCAAACACAAATGGCTGCTGCCCAAAGTTGGCATCCACGATCTCTCCTGGAGTCTGGAGACCCACTGTAGGGTAGAGGTTTGACTGGGAAGGAAAAGAAACCTGTGTTCAATCCACTTCTGGTGCCAGTCCTGTGGTTTGCTCTTGGAATGGAAACGTGACACGGAGCAGGAAACGTGACAGGGCAGCAGCCCTGCAGCTGCATCTCAAGGAACCCCACGACTTATTGTGCAGGTATTAAAAGTTACTGCACAACCCCAGAGCAATGGGATCAGTCCCCCAGTGGGATCAGGCTGTGACCAGTGCCACCACTGCTGTCCAGGGAGGGTCCAAAAATCAAACCAAAGTTCAAAAGCCAGCAAATAATAATAAAAAAAACCCCAAAGGGGCATCACTGCAATCAACGGATCTATGTGTTCTCCACTGTTGCCCTGAACTTTCTTACTGGAAGCTGCTGCCAGAGTATTTTACATCCCTGATGAAAAGGGAAGGGGTGGTAGTGGAGCTCTGAGGCTGGGTCTTTGATGGCCTCAAGACAGCAAGGCACCCACACAAGAAGTTCCACTTCTGATGGATTCATTTCATTTTAAGAACAGGCCTATGGATCCAAAGGAAAGCTCCAAAGCACCACCAACACAAGGGGAAAAGAAAAGGCTACCCCTGTAAAAATACCTCTAAAGTTCACCAGTAATTCAGCTTCCAAAGAAGATGAACCACCTGAAAACAGGTGGTCAGAGTCTATCTGGAAGATTTCTGAATTCAGGCTATTTTGAGAAAAAGCTTATGGATAGGAACTGAATCCCTGCATCCACTTCCATGTGGGAAATGGAAAAATGGCATCAGAAAAGGTTCAGGGATGCCTGGTGCTCACTCTGGACCAGTTTTTTTAAGTTGTCTTTACTGCTGCAGAGACCTGAAGCACTGGCAATGTCACTGGTCTCTCCTTGGGGCCTTCTGGGGTTGTGGATTTTGCTTTTTCCTAAAGGGATTAAGATGGTTACGGGGTAGAACTTGGAGGAATCCTGGTTAGGTTGGAAAAAAGGAGCTGACATGTCCTGGGAAGGGACTCCTTCCCTCTACTTTCACTGAGGGGGCTACATCTGCAGAACCTCCTTGGTTCACCCTCTCCACCTCCACATCTCCAGGGCAAGACAGACACAAATGGGGTCCTGCAGTTCTGCTGGGATGGATGGAGGGCTGGAGAGCCTGGAGTGCAAGGAGAGGGAACCAGCTTGGAGAGGCAAAAGGGAAAATCTACCTGCAAGTCTTCCAAGTGATCAAAGAGATGGAGATGGATCCCTCTCAGAGAAAGGGCAACGGGAACGAGATGCAGCCAGGGAAATTCTGATGGGTCATAAGGAACAAGTTCTTCCTTGTGAGGATGACTAAGGACTGGAACAGGTTCCCAGAGAGACTGGAACACCTCTGTCCTCAGGGAGTTTCAAAACTCAACTGCATCAAGTCCTGACCAACCTGCTCTACCTTTCAGATTATCAAAGCTCAAAAAACAAAGAGAAAAACAAAACCCAAAGGAAAAAATGAAGAAGCTTTACACTTTTTAATTAACTCCACTTTTTAGTGTTACAAACCCAAAGACTTCCAAGGCCAGGAATCAGACCTGCAAAATCCCTGGAAGTTAGAAGTAAGAAAACCCATATTTCAGCCACTCTGGGATATGTGCATCTTGGAGGGGAAGTTGGCTGCCCCCAGCTTGTCTCCAATCATCTCCATGTTCAAGTCCCTTTTTTTTTGCATGTGGGATGTGTCCTCTCTGTTTAGTGACTGTTGGGAACCACACATGCCCCCAGCACCCTGCAGACACCTGGAGACACCATCCCAAGCAGATGCTTCCAGAGAAGGGCAAGGGAGCTGGGGAAGGGGCTGGGGCACAAGTTTGAGCAGGAGCAGCTGAGGGAGCTGGAGGTGTCCAGCCTGGAGACAAGGAGGTGAGGGGAGACCTGCTGGCTCTGCAGCTGCCTGGGAGGAGGTTGGAGCCAGGGGGGTTGGTCTCTACTCCCAAGGAACAAGTGATGGGACAAGAGGAATCAACCACAAGTTGTGCCAAGGGAGGTTTAGAAGGGATACTGGGAGAAAATTCTTCACCCAAAGGTTGTCAGGCCCTGGCCCAGGCTGCCCAGGGAGGTGGTTGAATCTCCATCCCTGGCAACTGGCCACCAACATCAGAGGAAAAGTGTGCCTGAAACTTGGCAGGAGAATCCCAGAATCATTTTGGTTGGAAAAGACTCAGAAAAAGAACCATCCCCATGGTTCCATAAAATGTGTCACCACGTTTTTAACAGGGCATTCAACAGCAAGAGACAAGAAAAAAAAATCCCCCCCCTCATCCCCCACCCTTCTGTTTGCATTTTTGGTTGAAATACTGAAAGCAGGGGTACTTACAGGGAGGTCTGTAAAGGCTATACCTGTGGGGGGAAAACAGGAGAATTAAAAAGACAAAAGGATTTATTTTTTTCCCCCCTGCTTGGCCAAGTCCTTAACACGCTCCCAAAAGTCCCAGTAAATCCCAGCAAGAAATCTGTGGCAGTAAATCCCAGCTCAGCCCCTGCACCTCAGCACCTCTGGTATTTGGAAGCCACTTCCCTCCCTCTGCAAGGTTCTGCATCTGGAGAAAAGTTCATAGAAAAGCCTAAATGGTTCAGAACTTTCTGCCAAAAGTGTGATTTATTTTTTCCCCATCTCAGCTCTTCTTTTCTTTGTCACTAGGAAGGAGTTGGTTTCCAGGCCACACTTTGGCTTCAGAAACAGAGTTTTACTATAAAGTTGCTTCAGTTTGGCTGTAACCAGATCTTCTTACCAGCCTGAGAGACAAGAATGAACATTAAACACTTCCCATCACAGCAGGACCCAGCCAGAAGCACCTGAGAACCACCACGCAAAGAACAGCTTCATCCTCAGCTACACTGTCTGTCCCCAGTCAGAGGGAGGCTGGTCTGCACACCAGTATGACCAGTTTGGCACACATCCCACCTCTCTGCAGCTGTGAAGCAGCTGCACAGGAGCCAGAGCACATCCTTCTGGTTTTAATGGTAGGACTGTTCAACCAAGAGCTGCAAGGCAAGGTCACCAGCCTGACATGGTCATGATCAGCCTAGAATGGCAATTGAAACCAAATCCAGGAGTCATCACAGGAAACAAACAATTACTACTCAAACCAGCACAGATCCAAAATCAAACGCTTGGGGAAAAAATCCTGGATGTTTTCCTGCACAAACTGCCCCATGTACCCATGATGGCAGCGTGGAGCTCCCCTGCTGAGTGGCCTCTCTGCAATCCAACCAACAGCTCTGTCTTTATAAAATCAGTATCTACATCTAATATCTTATCAATATCTCCAGGGGGTGTCAGGAGGATGGGCCAGACTCTTCTCAGGGGTGTCCAGTGACAGGACAAGGGGCAATGGAACAAACTGGAGCACAGGAGGGACAAGCTAAACATCAGGAAAAACCTCTGTACTGTGGGGGTGACAGAGCCCTGGGCCAGGCTGCCCAGGGAGGTGCTGGAGTCTCCATCCCTGCAGACATTCCAACCCCACCTGGATGTGTTCCTGTGGGATCTCCTGTAGGTGACCCTGCTCTAGCAGGAGGGTTGGATTGGATGCTCTTCAGAGGTCCCTTCCAGCCCCCACCACTCTGTGACTGTGTGTGACAACTGGCTGGACTGACAGGATCGAAGGGTTGTGACCAGCAGCTCCAACTCCAAGTGTGGTCCAGCAGGGATTGATGGTAGGGCCAACAGTTCAATGTCTCTACTACCTGGAGGATGGGATGGTGAGCAGTCTCAGCAGGTTCACAGATGTTACCAAATGGGAGAGTGGACAATATCCTGGATGTCATAATGCTTTTCAGAAAGACCTCAAAAGGCTGGAGAAAAGAGCCAGCACAAAACTCATTAGGTTAGAATCACAGAATGTGTTGGGCTGGAAGGGTCCAACCTTTGAAGGTCATCTAGTCCAACCCCCTGCAATGAGAAGGACTTCTTTAACTCAGAGCCTTGTCCAACCTGACCTTGAACATCTCCAGGGATGGGGCCTCCAGCACCTCTCTGGGCAACCTGTTCCAGCGTCTCACCACCCTCACAGTGCAGAACTTCTTCCTAATGTCTGATCTAGTTTCCTAGATTCTGATCTAGTCTCCCTGCTCTAGTTTTAGACCTTTGCCCCTCGTCCTGTCTCTACACTTCCTTGTAAACAGCCCCTCAGTCCAACACAACAGTGCAACAGAGCAAGTGAAGAGCCCTTCCATCAGCTTGTAGCATTCCCAGGAAAGAGGACAGGCTGGGGCTGACTGGAGATAAGCAGATCTGCAGAACTGGAGGCAGAGGGTCCTGCTGGGCAACAAGCAAAGCAGGAGTCAGCAGCAGGTCCTTGCAGCAAAGCAGGTCAACCACATCCTGCGCTGTAGCAGTAGCACTGGAGCTGGAGCTGTGGTAGTGAGCTGGGCTGTAGCAGTAGGACTGTAGGTCAAAGGAAGGGATTTGCTTCCTTCTCTTCAACGCCTGTGAGTCCCAGTTTGGAGTATGATATTCACCTTTGGGCTCTCCAACACAAGACTGGGAGCAAAACTGGAGTGAGTCCAGCAGAGGCCCACAAGATGAAGAGAGGCAAAGGGCAACTGGGTCCTTCAGTTGTGTTCTGGGGTTCCTGCTGCCTACAACTACCTAATGGGAGGGTACAGAGAAGACAGAGCCTGACTCTTCCCTGAGATGGATGGTGACAGGACACAGGAGGCAACAGAGACAAGTTGCAATGTGGGAAATTCTGGTTAGGCACTAAGGGGAGGGAATTCAGTAGGAATGTGGTCAAACACTGAACCAGGGGACCAGAAAAGCCTCCTGCAAGATCTCTATGCTTAGAGACAGCAAAAACTTGACAGGTTTCTGAGTAATGTGATCTGGTTGGTTCTGCTTTCAGCAGGGTGTTGGATGCTTGACCTCCAGAGATTCCCCCCAAAGAAAACTACTCTGTGGTTCTATAAATAAACTTACTACTTTGCCTTTAAATTAAGGCATTTGTGTGCTTTGCACCCTCTGTTACCTAAGGTCAATAACATGCACAAATGTGTCTGTTTAGAGACATCATCTTGAACCTCTGCTGCTACACACCTGGATCAAACAAAACCAACAGCCAAAAGCAAAAGAACCGCAGGTCTAACTGGGCTCTGAATTTGAATCTGCACCTTTGCTCTGCAGCACCTCCAAAGCCTGGACACAACACAAAATAGAACCACAGAATCATAGAATGGTTTGGGTTGGAAGGGACCTTAAAGATCACCTAGATCCAATCCCCTGCATGGGCAGGGACACCCCCCACCAGCCCAGGCTGCTCCAAGCCCCATCCAACCTGCCCTTCAACACTGCCAGGGATGGGGCAGCCACAGCTTCTCTGGGCAACCTGGGCCAGGGTCTCACCAATGAACAAAGCCAATAGGAAGCAACAAGAAAGGAAGGGAATTAAATTACTCTGAGCTTAGAGAAGAGCAGTAGATGATTATCACTGCTGTCTCCTGAGTGTCCTCCTCTTGGGCTCTTCAGATGTATGGAACATGAGATGTAAGAGAAATTTACAGGTGTGAGACACCCCTGAGTGTTCATAGCTGGCTCAGTGTTGTACCAGCTCCTCCCTCAGCTGTAGGGGTGTAATCACACAATCATTCTGGTTGGAAAAGGCCTTTAAGATCATCAAGTCCAACCTACCAATCATTAACCCAACTCTACCGAGTCCAGCGCTAACCCATGTCCCTCAGCACCACATCTCCATGTCTCTTACACATCTCCAGGGATAGAGACCCAACCACTTCCCCGGGCAACTCAGCTACCTCCCTGACAGGAGGGATGATGTGGTTAGGAGAGACACTGATGGAAGCACTAGGGAGTCACAGGCCACCAGCTGGTCTGATACCCCCAAAAGCTGCAGGAACATTTCACTGTCTTTCTACAAAAGCAGAATGAAAACTTCAGCAAGGAAGAGTCTTGTTAAGGGCCACCAGTGTCTATTTGTGCCATTGATGAAGAAACACAACCTTCAAGAGAAGTGCTTCCCATTGAGGAGAGCATGTCTGAGCTCCTTAAGACCACAGGTCTCCATCATCTTCCGGCTGGGCAACTTCTCCCCAGTGCTGAACAGGGAGGTGTCAGAGGGGGGTGAGGAACCAACACCAGCTGGAGGCAGGAGCCACGATTTCTTTGAAAGTCCAAACACTTTCTGCCCTCTTGGAAGCATCTCCATGAAGATCTTGCCCAGAAAGCCAACGGTGTCCTGGGCTGCATCAAAGGAAGTGTGGCCAGCAGGTCAAGAGAGGTGATTCTCCCCTTCTTCTCTGCTCTGGTGAGACCCCCCCCGGAGAACTGTGTCCAGTTCTGGAGCCCCCAACACCACTTCTGTGTAAATACACACCAAAATGAAGGGACTAAAATGAGACTTGTGGTGAAATCTTCTTTTGCTGTTTCATCACCTTAGTGGCAGTGTATGGTGAACTTGTCTCATCCTTCAGCAGCAGCTCCTGCTCTACATCACCACTGTGGCTGTCACACCTCTACTTGTCCTCCCAGGACAGGACTGACCAGGACAATGTCCACAGATTATGAGTTAAATTTAGAATAACCCAGCTGTGAGAAATCTGGGCAATTAACTAATCCTTAGGGACCACAAATGGCTCCCAGTGTCTCTACTGGTGACCAATCTCACCAAGTCATAAGGCACAGGTCTTCCCATGGAGCATCACACCTGGTCTGGCTGATCAATAGTTGTCATTTCAAAAGACACCAGATCAGACACTCAGGTCCAAGCAGCCCCCCTGATTTGAGCTCTTTATAAAATTAGAAGGTTAAACACAACTCTCAAAGGATGCTCCATTCAGTGCTGAAGATCTCTTGATGTGGTGCAAAGCATCAGGGCTGAATGCCCAACCACTGTGATGCTTCTCAGAAGGCACCAGCCCCTTCCAGGCAACCATCCCCTCACAAATCAACCCACGGTGGGTATGACATTCAGAGGAAAAGTGAAAACAAATCTCCAAAAGAAGTTCTGTCTGCAGGAGCACCAGGGCTTCCTGCATCTGCTGCAGGGGAAGGATCCATCTTGAGATCAGAGGGAGAAAAGTCCACATCTCTGTACCTCTGCTACTCCTGGAGCACAGTGTGCCGCTCCACAGGATCACAGGCTGGCTGAGGTTGGAGGCACCTCTGCAGGGCAACAGCTCCAAGCCCTCTGCTCAAGCAGGGTCACCCAGAGCTGGTTGCTCAGGATCATATCCAGGTGATACCTCACGGATGAGACCCCACAACCTCTCTGGGCAAACCTGTGCCATTGCTTGGTTGCCCTCACAGTGACAAAGTGTTCCTGATGTTCAGAAGGAACCTCCTGGGTTTCAGGTGGTGCCAATCCTCTGGGTTTCAGTTTGTGCCCATGGCCTCTGGTCCTGGCCCTGGACACCCCTGAGAAGAGCCTGGCTCCACCCTCATTGCAGCCTCCCTGCAGCCATTTCTATCCACTGAAGAGCTCTCCCCTGGAGAGATGCTCCAGTCACAGGATCACAGGATGTCAGGGGTTGGAAGGAACCTCCAGAGATCACCGAGTCCAATCCCCCTGCCAGAGCAGGATCAAAACCAGGGCAGGTCACTCAGAAAGGCATCCAGACAGGGCTGGAAAGGCTCCAGAGAAGGAGACTCCAACACCTCTCTGGGCAGCCTGTCCCAGGGCTCTGTCACTCTCACAGCAAAGAAGCTCTTCCTCATGTTCAGGTGGAACTTCCTGGGCTCCAGTTTGAATCCATTGGCCCTTGTCCTGTCCCAGGGCACAAGTGACAAGAGCTTGTCCTGCCTTCTTGCTGCCCTCATGTATTGAGAGACATTCATTAGATCCCCCTTCAGTCTTCTCCTCTGCAGACTAAACAGCCCCAGGTCTCTCAGCCTCTCCTCCTCAGGCAGGTGTTCCAGTCCCTTCATCATCCTCAGCCTCCCTTGGACTCTCTCCAGATCCCTGTCCCTCTGGAACTGGGGAGCCCAGAACTGGACACAACACTCCAAGTGAAGTCTCACCAGTCCCCTAACCATCTCAGAGATTTCAACAGATTCTCTCTAGTATGTCCATCTCTCATGTGAGGGAGCCTCGTGCTGTCCCAAGAGCTCCCCAGCAGTTGTGCCCCCTCCAGACACACTGCACCCCAATCCCAGCCCTCCCACTAGCCCAGCCACCAACTCCAAATGACTTCTGTTCTGAGAAATGTTTGGAGCAGGGTATTTTTCTACCAGCTTCTTCATCTGGAATTCAACCAAGAGGAACTAACACACTGAGGAGAAGCCAAGGGAAGGAGTGTCTGTCCTTACCAAACCAAAGGAATTCCAGCCCAAAAAGTGAGATGAACTTCTCAAAATGTACAGCATGTCTTATGTCACCAAAAAAATGCACAAGAATTTATCCAGGGTGGAGAATCTCATCCAAGGGCAAGACATTTCAGGTGAAAATGGACATAACTTTCTATTTGAGATCAATCAGCTAGGATGGATGCCTGGAAAATACCTGAGAGAGGTTTCTTTGGGCAAAATTTTGAAGTTCTTAACTTCAGGGGAACTACTGAAATAATTGTGGAATGGACCAAATTACAGGAAAGAGCTTAACTAAGACTTCTTCTGCTGGATTAATCCTTGCTTTTGGAATGCTTGGACCACTGTGTTAAGGCCCACAGATGGAGAAGCCACTTCATAAAGTATCACTGATTGAATGTCCTTGCATGTAGCTGATGAATACAGTAATTAAGCTTCCCATTTCTTTGTCTCCCTGCTGCCCAAACATCAGCCATCCTCTCCAGCCTCCAGGAGCAGGAACCAGGGATTAAATCCTAACCGACTCAACTGGAAAGGCTCCAGAGAAGGAGACTCCAACACCTCTCTGGGCAGCCTGTCCCAGGGCTCTGTCACTCTCACAGCAAAGAAGCTCTTCCTCATGTTCAGGTGGAACTTCCTGGGCTCCAGTTTGAATCCATTGGCCCTTGTCCTGTCCCAGGGCACAAGTGACAAGAGCTTGTCCTGCCTTCTTGCTGCCCTCATGTATTGAGAGACATTCATTAGATCCCCCTTCAGTCTTCTCCTCTGCAGACTAAACAGCCCCAGGTCTCTCAGCCTCTCCTCCTCAGGCAGGTGTTCCAGTCCCTTCATCATCCTCAGCCTCCCTTGGACTCTCTCCAGATCCCTGTCCCTCTGGAACTGGGGAGCCCAGAACTGGACACAACACTCCAAGTGAAGTCTCACCAGTCCCCTAACCATCTCAGAGATTTCAACAGATTCTCTCTAGTATGTCCATCTCTCATGTGAGGGAGCCTCGTGCTGTCCCAAGAGCTCCCCAGCAGTTGTGCCCCCTCCAGACACACTGCACCCCAATCCCAGCCCTCCCACTAGCCCAGCCACCAACTCCAAATGACTTCTGTTCTGAGAAATGTTTGGAGCAGGGTATTTTTCTACCAGCTTCTTCATCTGGAATTCAACCAAGAGGAACTAACACACTGAGGAGAAGCCAAGGGAAGGAGTGTCTGTCCTTACCAAACCAAAGGAATTCCAGCCCAAAAAGTGAGATGAACTTCTCAAAATGTACAGCATGTCTTATGTCACCAAAAAAATGCACAAGAATTTATCCAGGGTGGAGAATCTCATCCAAGGGCAAGACATTTCAGGTGAAAATGGCCATAACTTTCTATTTGAGATCAATCAGCTAGGATGGATGCCTGGAAAATACCTGAGAGAGGTTTCTTTGGGCAAAATTTTGAAGTTCTTAACTTCAGGGGAACTACTGAAATAATTGTGGAATGGACCAAATTACAGGAAAGAGCTTAACTAAGACTTCTTCTGCTGGATTAATCCTTGCTTTTGGAATGCTTGGACCACTGTGTTAAGGCCCACAGATGGAGAAGCCACTTCATAAAGTATCACTGATTGAATGTCCTTGCATGTAGCTGATGAATACAGTAATTAAGCTTCCCATTTCTTTGTCTCCCTGCTGCCCAAACATCAGCCATCCTCTCCAGCCTCCAGGAGCAGGAACCAGGGATTAAATCCTAACCGACTCAACTGGGCAGCCAAGAAACCACTTCACATGCTGCGAGGATTGATGTCTTAGAGCCAATTTGTATCTTCATTTTCTCCAATCTTACCCACAAAGGTGGGACAAGAGTTACAGAACATGCAAAGCAGCGAGAGCAGGGCAGGAGGTCCCTCTCCTGGGAACACCATCTTTCCTCACCCAAACTGTGGCCATTCTTTGTGTAGAAGCAGGTGTTGTTGATCAGGTTGACACAGCAGCCGATGACATCCCCAGTGGTGAAGGTGGGACCATAGGGCTGGCCTGTTCCTGAGGAGCAGAAGGAGTGCCCATCATCACCGTGGTACCCATAGGAATGTTTATCCCATCCTGCAGGAGACAGGAGAGAACAGCTCAGCAATGAAGCCAGGTCAGCAGAACAACATGACAGCTCTAGCTCTCAGGCCATCACTTCCTTGGTAGGAAATTCAAAACTTTTTATTCCCACTCCTGGTCCATCTGGAGCTTAATTTTCACCTCCCAGGAGCTCAAAAAGAAATCACTGGTCATGGATTGTAACACATCGTTTGGGTTTCAACCTCACTTGTCATTTATGAGAACAAATAAAACCAACAGATTGCCAAAAGGCATTTTGAGAAAGATTTTTTGGTTGTAAAAACCAACATTCAAACCCTGTTACTGCTTTCCCTTGCCTGGGGTGAAACAAGCTCCTCTTTGGAAAACGTTCCTGTTTCCAGAGGAAAACAGCAAAAAAAAAACAGCAAAAGCACCTAATATAATAATTCCTAGCCAACACAGGGTGGTCCTTAAGCTCACAGGTGGGACCAAACAGCCAAAGGCAATTCTTGCCTTATCCCACTTCTATTTCCCTTCCAAGAGGTGAGAAGGATTTCTGTGTCCCCCTCGAGTAGCAGCATTTCCCATTCTGTGGACAGCTTGAAAATCACCACCCTTGAAAATGTCAGATTTTCAATATGGTCAATTCTAACAGTATCACAGAATCCCAGACTGATTTGGGTTGGAAGGGACCTCAAAGATCACCCTATCCCAACCCCCTGCATGGGCAGGGACACCTCCCACCAGCCCAAGCTGCTCCAAGCCCCATCCAACCTGCCCTTCAACACTGCCAGGGATGGGGCAGCCACAGCTTCCCTGGGCAACCTGGGCCAGGCTCTCACCACCCTCACAGCAAACAATTTTCTCCTCATGTCTCACCTCAACCTCCCTCTTCCAGTTTTCATCCCTTCCCCCTTGTCTGCTCCCTCCCTGCCCTTGTCCTAAGTCCCTCCCCAGCTTTCCTGGAGCCCCTTCAGGCACTGGAAGCTGCTCTAAGGTCTCCCTGGAGCCTTCTTTTCTCCAGGCTGAACACCCCAACTCTCCTAGCCTGGCTCCAGAGCAGAGCTGCCCCAGCCCTTGGATCAGCTCTGTGGCCCTAACAAGGCATCCTGCAACAAGGCAAAAAAAGACTGAAGATCCTTGCAAGGCACAGAGAAGAGCCCTGCAGGTGGCCTGGACACTTCTGCAGGCCATTGTTTTCCTACAAAAACAACCCCAACATGAGGGCATTCAAAATTTACTCCTGTCAAACAGTGCTCAGCTACATGCCCTCAGTATCTTATCAGCAGCAGGACACACCTGCTCAGGGTTTCTCAGAAAAGCAGGAACCATTGGGTGCAGGGCAGAGGTCCTCCCAGCTCTGCAGCACAGCACGTGAAGGCCAACGGGGGAGCCAGGGAATGGAGCAAGACTCAGACACACCACGGTCCGCGATTTTGGACCTCGGGGCAAAGTTTAGGAGTGAAAGGTGTGAAGGACTCCTAGCCCAGCCTAGAAACAAGTGAATGATTTCCTCTGTTAAACTCCCCCCCCACAGAACAGATGGAGATATCCCAAGAGTCAGCTCTGCCTCCTCTCAGGCCAGCCCTAAACAAGCTGTTGACAGGAACACCAGCCCTGTTCCATATCTTCATGAAAGACAGAGACACCAACACAGGGAGCACCCCCAGCAAGGCCCAGAACACACCAAACTGGGCTGCCAGAAACAGAGGAGGAACTGATGGGGCTCCAGAGGCTGCTGACAAACAGCCACTGCTAAGACTCCAACCAGGAAAAATATCAGTGACATACTGAGGTTTTCACACTCTGGCTCCTTTCCCCTGTCCCTTCTCTCTGCTGGCCCCACTGATCTGTTTGAGTCTCCCCAGACACGGACATGTCACTTCTGTCCCCTCAGAACGTCTCTAACGAAGCGGCTCCACGACTCCAGGTGACAACTCTCAGCAGTTCAGCTCCTCAGCTACTTAATAACACAACCCAAATACCAACTCGTAGTTCTTGGGCATACAAAGCACTCCTGGCATCAGAAAGAGTTCATGAGAACAAGGCATCAGTTACAGCTCAGCAGCCATTGATCCCACATTGTGCACCAGGTAGGGGCTCCCATGAGAAATGCTGGGAGAGTTGGGGTGTTCAGCCTGGAGAAGAGAAGGCTCCAGGGAGACCTTAGAGCAGCTTCCAGGGCCTGAAGGGGGTCTAGGAAAGCTGGGGAGGGGCTTGGGACAAGGGCAGGGAGGGAGAGGACAAGGGGGAAGGGATTAAAACTGCAGGAGGGAGATTGAGGTGAGACATGAGGAAATTCTTGAGTCTGAGGGTGGTGAGAGCCTGGCGCAGGCTGCCCAGGGAAGCTGTGGCTGCCCCATCCCTGGCAGTGTTGAAGGGCAGGTTGGATGGGGCTTGGAGCAGCCTGGGCTGGTGGGAGGTGTCCCTGCCCATGCAGGGGGTTGGGACCGGTGGCCAGTCACAAGTGGTGTCCTCAGCGCTGTGTTGGAACCATTTCTGTTTAAGATCTTTATTGATGATTTTGAGAAGGACACAGAGTGTATCATCAGTGAGTCTGCAGATGACACCAAGCAAGGTGGGAGTGCTGATCTGCATGAGGATCATTGGGCTGATGTCAATGGTCTGGGCTTCAACAAGGCCAAGTTCCAGGTCCTGCATGTGGGCCACAACAACCCCAGGCAATGCTCCAGGCCTGGGAAAGTGTAGCTGGAAAGTGTCTGGCAGGAAAGGACCTGGGGGTTCTCACTGACAAGGGGCTGAACATGAGCCAGTGTGTGCCCAGGTGGCCAAGAAAGCCCATGGCATCCTGGCTTGTACTAGAAGTAGTGTGACCAGCAGAAGCAGAGAGGTGATTGTTCCCCTGTGCTCAGCACTGGGGAGGCCTCACCTGGAGTGTTGTGTCCAGTTTGGGGCACCTCAATTCAAGAGAGATCTTGAGGTGCTGAAGCCAGGACAGAGGAGGCAACGGAGCTGGGGAAGGGCCTGGAGAATCAATCTGATGAAGAAGGCTTGAAGGAGCTGGGAATATTTAGTTTGAGGAAGAGGAGTCTGAGGGGAGACCTCATCAGTCTCTACAACCACCTGAAAGGTCACTGTAGAGAGGTTGGTGCTGGTCTCTTCTCACTGTAATTAGCAACAGAATAAGAGGGAAGGGCTTCAACCTGCAACAGGGGAGGGTCAGACTGGACATTAGGGAGGATTTTTTCACAGCAAGAGTGGTCAGACACTGGGATAGGCTGCCCAGGGAGGTGGTGGAGTCACCATCCCTGGGTGTGTTTAAGGGTGTTGATGGAGATGGTTTAGTGGAGAACTTTGCAGAGCAGGGATGATGGTTGGACTCGGTGACCTCAAGGAGCTTTTCCAACCTGAATAGTCCTATGATTCTCTGATCTTTAAGGCCCTTCCAACCAAACCATTCTATGACTCTATGAAATGCAGCTGCATGCCCAACCATGAGGACAATCTCACAATATCCTTGTCTCAATACAGACACTACAGGCTCTGTAGCATAAGAAAAGGTTTCATTACCTACAGATCCCAATAGATCCTACTGAAAAACACCTGCTCCTGTGTGACTTGTGCTCCACAGGGTCAGGACGTGCTGTCCCACCAAAGGTGATGACAAACCCATCGATGGAATGAACTCCCATGAGAAGTGACTGAAGAAAAGCTTTAAGGACAGTGTCCAATTTGGTGTGTACTGGGTTGGATATCATTTTCCACAGGCAACCACTGATCCCACCAGAGAGGGATCTCACTCACTCAGCACTATGCTAATGATACTCAGAGCTAAGTTTTTCAACTCCAACTTGGGGTTGTGCTGGATCTGGACCCGACTGTGCACCAAGTGTTTTACATCTGCCAACCTTATCAAATCATCATGGTCACCTTAGCAAAACAAGCCTGATCCATTTCAGTACTTGGTAGAAACACAAGCTGAGTGATGTTCATTATGTGTCTAACCTTGAGTTATTTATTCATCAAATAAGGTACCAGCATTTCTAAAATTCTGCCCCAAATAAACACAAGGGCAGTGGAGCACGGGTCACACCACCAGTGGCCAACTCCAGCCAAGTCTTCTGCAATTTCCTAATGATTTGACTTCAAAATAACAATCAGCACTTCTAATCCTTCTAGGTCAAAGTTATCTGGGCCTATTGATTTAAATACCACCTCCCTGTTGAAAGTGGCATGATCTTGGGTGGCCAGAGAGGGGAGTAACTCATCACAGGTGGGTTTCAGATACATCCTCCAACTTCTTTCCAGAAACAAGGACACTTGCTGGAAACTCGGGACTTTCCTGCATCATTTCCAATTGACTATCGCCACCTAGTAACAGGTCTCTGATATTACAACCGTGCCTTAGATACTGGTCATGCCTCTGGTTCCTCAACAGCTTCTCTTTTTGCAAAACCTACCAGTGCTTCAGTGAGAGGCCTGAAGCAGACTTCCCAGGTGCCTTCCCCACACCTAGTTCTCCAAGTTCTCCAGAAAAGACCTGAGTTACTTCAGGACACAGTTACAGGATCATGTCATAAATGCTCACTCCTGGGTGAGCACAGGAGTCAGATGAGGTCTGTTGCCTCCCACCCTCATCCTACATCCATCCCTGGTCAATCCCATTTTGCCCATTCCATGTCAGCCCTGCTTTACTCTTGTCATTTTGGGCAGATCTTGTGGTGAGACCCAACATCTGTATCTGGGCTCAGGCTCACACAACAGCAAAAGGAAAGTAGAAGAACTGGGCTGGGACACCATTTACCTCTTAGGGCTGTGGAAAGAACACAGTATTTGAACTTCCCCTTTCCAGAGTGCCACAGAACTTCTGGGAGGCACTGGGTAAAATGGGCATCATGGCACATGACACATGAAAGAACACCAGGGCCTGAATATGCTGCTCAGCCTGGGAAGCAAGGACCATCAGGCCACCAAGGCAACATGACACAGGATGCCCTGGTGGGAATGACCATCAGTAAAAGTTTCATCACGTCTTTGCTGGCCCATTGCTCCTTCTGCACCAAGTGTGGAGA